CCCTGCCCCAAAACGGAACCAACAAAAGTTAAAAATATTTACACTTGTAGCCATTTAAAAACCCAATAAAATAAGATTGCATATGTCCTACTGGGGATGTGGGTATTAGCAGCAGCTACAGCTAGCTCGGTACTCAGCGTGCAAAACGAAAAGACAAACAGAAGACAGACCAAAATACCGCACCATTACTAGGAAGCGTTTGCTGGGGTTGGTGTTTCGATTGTGGCGTAAGGCTCCGCCCCCCCCCCAGCCGCAAGGCAGGGGCGTCTCCCGCTCAGCCAGCGAAGGCCGGGCTCTAGAAGGATGGAAAGGATTTGTTATTCCAGACACAGCACATTAACACTGACGCGTTTCCATCCCAGTCAGCACAGACACCTAAAAGCCCACTGCAAGTTCACCACGTGAGTTCTTCCTTCTTTCCAGTGATGACGGAGGAAAAGGGGGCACACGAAGATCTAAGACATAGATGCTGCCGTCATCGCTGCCTCCTCATCATCTCCTCGCTTTGGCAGCTCGGCAGGGGCGGGGGGGCGGGGAGGCCGAGCGGGGGGGGCTCGGCAGGCGCGGGAGAGCGGGAAGCCAGAGTGGCAGGAGACTCCTGCACCTCCTGTTCCTCCCCGAGCCCCAGCTCTACATCCATTTGCTCCAGCTCCCCCTGATCCAGCAGCTCAAAGTCATCTGCTTCCTCCTCATCCTCCGGTGAAGCTGCTGTCTCTGTTTTCACCGCTTCGCTCTCTGACAGCTGCGCTTGGAAGCTCAGTTTCTCTTCGGGCTCGGTGGGGAGGAACTCGGAGAGGGAAGGCCCCTCGCTGGCCTCCGAGGACCGCAGCAGGGCAGAGAGGGTGTTCTGCACCACCGTGGTGATGGCAGTGGTGACGATCTCCTCACTCAGTGTGTCGATGCAGATTCCCAGGCCCGGGGCAGGGACAGTCTTTGGCTCCGTGTCGCCTCCTGCCGCCTGTCCGCTCCCGTTGAAGTGCGTATTTACAAAATGGAGAGGAGATGCTAGGCGAAGGATGGAGAGGTCAGAGTCCGCGGCCTCCTTCTCTGCTGAGTCCAGCTCACGGGCAGCGTGGGCAAGCTCAGGACCCAGGGGCACGCCAAACGCATCTTCGTCGCTCTGTGGTCCCAGGTCTCTGGAATGATACTCTTCCACGGAAGGAAATTCTGCCAGGTCCTTGGAAAACGACTCCTCCGGCTCGCTGTGCAGGCTCTGTTGATCCAGGTCTGAAAGGCACCAGCATTAAGAGGCAGGTCCCTTCACCTCACCCCAGGGCACTGACACCTCCCACCCACCTCCTCCCAGCTGACAAACCACGGCTCACTTTGGGGCATCCACTCAGCTCTGGGAGAACAGAAGGGGTCTGCAGTTACTTCCTTCTCCCACTGGCACAACTCACGTGGAATGTCCCTTTTCTCATCCTCTTCTATGTGCTCTGTGCTCAGAGAGGACTTCCTTCTCCAGCTCATGCTCTCTTCATCTAGAGCCCTCCACTAAAACCCAGAGGGCCACTCAGGTGACCACATCCGAGTGGTTAAATTCATGTTCCTCACCACTAACCAGTCTTTGTCTGACCCATTTAACTCAGCATCATTTACGGGTGGTGTGACTATACAACGCAATTATTTCTGCAGGACTTTGTGGATGGCCTTGCTCCCCGGCTGGACTGACAAGAGGACATTGTCTCATGGGGCAGATGTCCACTCAGGACCGGCTCACGGTCAGCCATGAAGCCAGGGCATGCTGGCCGAGATTACTGCTTCCTCCTCTCAATGTTCTTCCCCCTGCCAATAGCTGTTTGGAGGGACAGTTGTTCTGGGCCAAAACACTCAGGGTCAGGAAGGCAGTGAAGTGTCCCAACACGTACCTTCAGAAACGTCGGTCAGTTGTGGGGTGGTAGCCCTTGAGACAGAAAAGCCCCCACTCTCCAGGATGGAAGCCTCTTCATCAGAGAGCTCAGAATCTGTGATTGACAGTGCCAGGGCAGTCTTTTTCACATCCACCTGCATGGGATGAAGGCAGAGGGACAAATTCCTGGGTGTCTGACTACCCGTGCTGTCTACAGGCATCTTCACACAAATGGAAGCTTCCAAACAGAAGTTGTTTCCTGGAGAGACTCTGCACAGGGACAGTATGAAAGCAGGAGGGGGCTGGGCAAAGTGCTCATTGCACTGCCAGCCAAGACAGTCTCAGCTCTCTGAGCTTCCTGCAGTAATTCACTGCCTAAAGCTTTGCCTGCCCTTGGTGAAGAACCCCAAGGAGCCAGTACAAGATGGGATCAGCGTGTAGGAGTCTCCGAAAGCTTTGATCCTTCCTTCTCTCCTGGGCTCAATGAGGAGCAGAACCTTTCTGCATTCACGCCGGGCCCAATGAAGCCTTCTACAAGGAGCAGTGGTTCAAGCATCTGCATTCTTTTGGAAGCTGAAGCTTCCCACCCCACAACCCAGCTACACGCCCAGAGCTCCTGTAAACTTGAGTCTGTTTCTGTGTGCACTATAGAAAGGTCCCACCCAGCCTGACTGAGATCTCCCTTTTCCAGCAGTGGGGAACCTCTGCACATGACACCAGGAGAGCTGATGTCTTTAGGAGACATTTACATTCTCTGAGCATGGAGTGTAGCCATCAAAGTAATCCACAGGTCAGCAGGAGGCTGGAGCAAGGCTCACTCTGTCCTGCTACTGCATCACCAGCCCTGTGGCACGAAATTCTCAGTACCCAGATTGGAAACAACGGCCTTCATCAAACAAATACTCTTCTCCCTTTGGGATTCTGCAAAGAAGCGACTTATTGCTATTCTGTCGTCAATGCAGCTGTATTCAGACCATCCCCCGGCTCTCAAGCCGCTACAGACCAGAGAAGCAGCAGTGGTTCCTGCTCAGCTTTTTGTGCTCTTACCACTGGGGAGAATCCTGAGAGCTCTGCCTCACTCTCGCTCTCTGTCTCTGCTGTTGGCTCATCACCTGCCG